TTTCAATATTATTTTGATTTAATGTCACCTTCTTCATGTAGTAATCCTCTGCCAACTGCTGGAAATTTGTGCAGAGATTATGTTTTCAGTTTACGAGCCAAAGATATCGAGACCCACTGGCCGTTTTCTCCGAAAAATCTGCATCGTTGCCTTAAAAACGGTGTGAAGAATGTGTTGCCGCCTTTCGTGGCTCTCGAATCATTGAGAAACCCATCATCAGCTGCCAAATATGCCGATCACGAAAAGTTCTCTCAGTTGAACGATCATCTTCTATCGGGGGACGCTAAAAATGCAAACCAAAATGTAGCTTCGGACACTCGAAAAAATTCTCATAACCCAGCTAAGAACTTCAGCTCAATCGTGAAATCGGGAAAGAACGCCTTTGCCGAACAGAAGTCGAACGAGGATTTTTTAGAAATAACAATGGGCTCAAAAGTGTGCCCAGTGTGCAAGATGTTCACTTCCTCTTCAAACACGACTTTGAATGCTCATATCGATCAGTGTCTTTCTGGGGAGTCGAATTCTAAATGGATGACGAGCTCGAGAGTGGTCAAGCATAGAAATATCAGGCCTCGAAATATGAGATTGATGGTTGATATTTATGAAACAGCTCTTTCTTGCACTTTGGAGGATCTTGATAAAAGGAACGGGACGAACTGGGCTTCGAGCTTGAGTGATAATAATATTAACACTGATATAAATATCGTTCATGATAATAATAAGAATGAAGAAGGTGATGTGTACTTTGATTCCAATGGCACGAAGCTTAGGATTCTTTCAAGGTCTACTCATGTGAATGATGTTGATTATAATAAGAATGGAGAAGAAGATGATAGTAGGACTATGAAGCTGGTCGAGAGAGATAAAGCAAGCAAAACTGTTGCAGACAAGAAAAAGAAGAAGTGTCTTGTCCAGAGACACAAGAAGCTTTTAAAATCCCCTCGATTTGAACACAGACGCTATTCTGCCAGGCTTGAACGCAGTTCAGAGGTATGTCAGGAACTCTTTTTGAGTTCATTTTCGAATTTGGGTGAATTGTTTGTAATATTAGTTTAAAGTAGATTAATGTAGAGATTGAAGATTTGTTTTGGGGTACTCTTTCACACTCTCGGCAAGGAAAATTGCTGTTTTTCTCTTCCTTCTTAAGTTTTGATAGGGCGAAAAACTCGTTTGATGTTTCTCTTCTTTTCTTTTTCCGATTGTGTGTGAATGTAAAGTATCTTCGTAAATATAAGTTAATTGCATATAAATGCATAAAATGCTTCTTTTACTTTCTTGCTTTCGTTTTTCGATTGCGTTTGATATGATAGTAAATTTGAGCCTTGTCATTCACAGGTTAACCATCCAAGCAAAATCACAAAGAAATCGATAATAAAAAGTCACTGCCAGCAGCCTTCCTTAAACAATAAGCTCATGACAAGAACAAATAACTCGAGATTCGCAGTTTCATCTAATGATCATAATTCAGTTTCAGCTACTGATCAGACTCACAAGAGAAAGGAAAGCAGCACGTCTTTGAATTCGGTTGATGAATACATGCCTTGTCAGACAAATAGAGAAGGTTTTTACTCGTCCAGCTCCCAACAATTTGGAAATGATGATGAAGATGAGCAAAATCATATGATTATGCTCCCGAAGACCAATTTCAGGCTGCTAAATGAAAGTATTGGGCCCTCATTTGCTGAAGAAGATAGTGCAGCTTGTCAGGGGAATAATGCAAAAATAGATTCTCAAAAGTTCTCTATCGATCGATCTAAGGCTTCAAAAATCTATGATAAGAAATGGGGATTTAGATTCTTGAACTCCGATGAAGAAGTAGACAGAAGCACTTACTCAAACCACTCGAACGAGTCAGTGGACCTTAACAGCTATGGGATTGAGCAGGATATTAGTTCTTCCTTAACCGACACTAGTCTAGCTCCCGAATTTGTTCATGAGCCGAATTTGTTTATTAATGATGCCAAAGGCAATTACTCTATTGATGTTGATTCAATACCTATACCGGGCCCGCCGGGTTCATTTTTGCCGAGCCCAGAACGAATGGGCTCAGAAGAAGTCCGAAATTCATCATTGACGAATTTTAATATACATTCTCTTCAAGAAAACGGGCGTGAAGGTGAATATGATTCGCAGAGTTCTGATAAGTCATTCATATCTAATCACATTCCCATAGTCGAGAGGCCCACGCCATTTGAACATGTTCGTGTAGCGGCCCAGCTGAAAATCGACAGGCCCAAGGCGAATTGTGAGTATCCAGTCCCATCAACTACAAATCCTCCTATTCTTAGATTGATGGGGAAGAACTTAATGGTGGTGAATAGAGAGGAAAATCTAATGTCATCGGTCGGCAGTCAGAATGAATTCCGACCCTTCAGTTATAATTTATACCAAGGTCCTCCATTTTTGGACTACTCGAATTTCCATTCGGACTTCAAGATGCCGCCATACTGCTCGTTGCCAATTAGTCCAAGATTCAAAAGAGATCCCGTTTTTGTCCCTCAACTTAGTAGAACGCCCGAATCTTGTTACCGTAAGATGCCTTTCAGAGGGAAAATGGTTGAGAGTGCAAATATTACGCAGATGCCTTTCACAGGGAATAATGAAGTTCCAAGTGTAGTGATGAATCAAGATTCGCTAATAACTGCATTATCTTCGTCCACAGGTCACGAAAGATCATCTTCTTCTTCTTCATGCTTTTCTCATGGCTTTCCGTTACCAGCAAACTTTTCTTGACGTGTTTCTTTCGATCACGAAAACAAAAAAATATATATATATATAGTGTAATGGAGAGGGAGGGAAAATCTTAGGATGAGTTATGTTGTATGTTGTATTTTCTTCTTAAGTTGGTGTATAGTAGAACTTGTAGAAGTTTGAAGTTTATTGGAAGTATTTATTGGCACATGTTTTTGTATGAGGCAGGTTAGGCAAGTTGATTTCTTCAGCAAAATGCATTCTTATGCTTGAAATGTTATATTTTTGTTTGTTTATAGTGTTTTTCTGCATATCTGTTAAAAAGAGTTGATAAAAAAGTATGATTGTCTAACCGTTAAAAGAGTTGATAAAAAAGTATGATTGTCTAACCGTTGAGTTATTTTTTTAATTTGCAATTTTGTTAATGTGGATATGCTTTTTTTTTTTTGTTTAATCAATGTCGAAAAATATTTTTTTCTACTTTATACTAGTGTAACACTTCTGATTACACAGGTGCTAGGTAAAAACCGAAATTCTTAAAATGTATAAGAGAAGTTGTTGTTGTCGTCGTCGTTGTTGTTGTTGTTATCAGTATTATTATTATTATTATTATTATTATTATTATTATTATTATTATTATTATTATTATTTCAAAAATTCTAAAAAAAAAAGTTGCATTATTAATTATGTCTAATTTATGTGTAATGAATTTATAGATAATTTTTTTACTTGATATATCATTTTTAATTTGTAATAATATATATAATTTTATAACAAAATAAATTATTTTATTTATTTGATAAATGCAATATGGATGTCAAATCAAAGTTCGTTAACAAAATGATTGTTTAATTTATTATATATGAAATCTGATAATAAATATAAAAATTATTAATTTTTAAATATATTCATAATTTAAGTTAGTTAAGTGTTATACAATTTTTAACGTTCTAAAAGCTATAGACAAAATCTAGATTTACTATCTAAAACACTAGAAATTGACACACAACATTATGGAAAACCAAAATTTGACTCATAAAATTATGAAGCATCAGAAATCGACACGTATATAGGATCGAGACATTCTTGCTTGAAGAATGTTAACATCCTGGATTTTCCATTTTTCTTTGTTATATTTTATGTTGATTTGTATTCAAATCCTTTAGTTGTGGAACTATTATTGTACTACTAATTCTTGTAGAGATGGCCTAACTATTAAGTGATTTGACCAGTTATACAAAGTTCATATGAAATGTCATATTTTTTCTTATATTTTGCTTTTAGTGTATGACTTTTCAAATTGAAATTATGCATTTGATATGAAATGTATGACATTTTAAATTGTAAGTATGCATATTCATTGAGAAAATAAGATTGTATAATCAGCATAGTTGATGTGTGTTACAACACTCTTATGAATTATGATTATAATGTGTCTTGAATGTCAATAATTTTATGTTGCCATACCATAATAATAATAATAATAATAATAATAATAATAATAATAATAATAATAATAATAATAATAATAATAATAATAATAATAATAATAATAATAAATATCTTTATTTAGGCTTTGGAACATTATCAAGATTTTAACTTTAGCCACAGTATGAAAATATGTAAAATCTTGACTGAAATTGATAACTTCATATGTATGAAAATCTCTGGTAAATCCATTATTGCATGTTTTAAATAAACATTGTGTGTGAGAGAGGTCAAAATAGTTGAAAAAAAAAAAGAAATAATAATAATAATAATAATAATAATAATAATAATAATAATAATAATAATAATAATAATAATAATAAAAGAAATCAAAAGTGAACGAAAATGATGCGCACAAACAAGACAGAAAAGCCAATTTTATGCCGTTTGTTTACAACTATCTAAAACTGCCTTTCAAGATTTCTCAATGATATTTGATTTTTTCCAATTTGTTTGTATTAATATTGTCTCTCAAGATTTCTCAATGGTTTTATTAATCAAATTTTTGTATCGAATCGTCATGCGAATCGCCCTGTCATATATATAATATAAAAAAAATGCGAACTTATGCTATGAAATTTTCCTTTTTATATATATATATATTTTTTTACATTATTGATATTTTAATTTAAAATAATGTATACATCGATCGACCGGTTTGATCGCCGGCCGGCCGTCAAGGTCACCAGCTGTCAATTAATATTTTATTATGTAATTAATTTAAATATAATAATTAGTATCTATCTATATAAAATAAGAATAAGTTAAATAATTTTTAGAAAGAATTTCTCGCCAAAATCATTAATTACATACTACAAAAAGGTAAATTTTATAATTTTTTAATTGTTTCCAAATAAAAATAAAAAGAACCATTTAATGGATTGCCATAATTCCTGTTGATGTTTGTCATGCCATATTCTCAGTTTTTGTCGTAAAAAAATATTCTAGGATTCTGTGTTGTGTACATTTTGAATATATTTAAAATCAAACTATTTTATTTATATCTTGATCTATTCTCTTACGATAACGATTTTGTTGAGTATTTTTTAGCAGATTTTTTAAAATCACATATTAAAAAATAAAATCTTATTCTAATTTTGGACAATACATCTATTGTTTAATATTTTTTTTTAAAATTAAATTTTAAACAGCAATGGAATTGAACATGTTTTATTATCAATTTTAATTTTAATTTTATTTTATTTTTTTAGAAAAATAAGATAGAAAAGACATACTAAAAAAACCAAAATGTTCTCGATATACGAATGAATTTGGTATAAAAATGAGAACTATAGAAAAAAAAAGTTATACTCCATATCTAGACTTTAAAGCAACAATTTTTCTTATATTCTATATAAAATTAAGCTTCACTCGATAAATCATATTTGTATTATATATCACAATATTACATATTTTCACTATAACTTTATGTCGTGGTGTAAGTATTCCGAAAATCAACAAAAAATTAGAGGAATGAGTGTCTATGCAATTCGCAATTACCAAGTGGAGAGAAATCTTGGTAATTATCGATCTACAATTGCCTAGTGCAAAATAATTTTGCATGGAAAAATAAGGAGACTTTTAATAATGTATGTTGCCCAGTGCAAAGTGATTTTGCATGGAAAAATAAGGAGATTTTTAATAATGTATGATTTTTTCATGACGAATATTTTATGATTATCTGACAAATGCTCTACGTATTATAATTATAGCCTTTAATTATAAATTTTACCTAAACAAGTACAACTCGTGCACCGCACGGGTTTAGAACCGTTTCCACTAGAGCTGATTGGAATAGAATTGTGTTGAATTATAAATCTTTCAACTGTTTTGTTGTCATTATTTGAGCTGGAGTTATGATAGCTAGTTCTCGATCTTGACGCGAACTAAGTTTTAGTATTGATTGTCAATCAATGCGGAGTAAGCTAGAGTAAAATGATGATGCAGGAGCTCTCGGACTTAGTTGCAAATCCAAGCAAGCGAACGACAAAATGGGGAGTCTGTGTGGGAATATTCGGAGTTCCTCTGAGCAACATGGGCAGCAGCAGGGGAAGGGCCGGGCAGAGGATATGCGGGAAAAAATCGAGAAGGAAAACTCGCGGTCGAGCATGGATTGCGTAACTCATATTTCGTGTTTGTAAAGGGATATCATGCGATGATTAATGGAGTTCGATATGAAAATGGTGAGGGGAGATTTTAGTAATGAAGGAGGTTATGAAGGTTTGTTATGGGACTTGAGAAAGAAAAGAGGAGAGAATCGCGGTTCCTCTTCCGGTCAGGATTCTTTGCTCGAGTCCATGTGTCTACTGCAGAAGGCACAAGAGGCTCTAAAAGAAGGTTTGACATACTTTTTCTCTTTCCTCTTTGCTTTGCTTTCGTTTGGTTTTTGCTTATCTGCATATATACTCTAGCTTGATTCGTAATTTCGTATGGTTCCTTCCTTTCTCCTTTAGTAGGTCGTTGCTAGCTGCATCTTGTTGAGGTTGTCGAGTGATGCAGCAACGTGGTAGACGAAAGGAATATAAGAGAAAACTCAAGAGTTCTTAATTTTATTCAATGTTCATCCATCAAACTTCATAAGAGAGGGACAATATATAGAGTCCTATGAAAGAGAATCATAATCCTAATTATCTTGTGCAACAAGATAATTATCTTATTTATTCCTAAATAATAAAACACTCCTAAGGAAATAAAATATCTCTTACTAAACACTCCTAAGGAAATAAAATATCTCTTACTAAATAATAATAGGAAATATAATATGTAGAATAATCTAGATGCGTAGACGGCCGAATTTGTCGAGAAAGGCTAGGGCGGTCTCGTCTTCATCATCATTTCCCCGGTTGGGAAAGATTCGGCCTCGAATCCGAATGGGTCTCGTCTTCCTCCGTGTTGTCCCCCGCAAAGGGAACCAGATGCTTGACGTTAAAAACGTCATGTGTGCGAATATGGGAAGGAAGCCGCAAACGATAAGCATTTGGATTAATCTTCTCAATCACCTCGACCGGTCCTATCTTCCTTGCCGACAACTTGCTGTACTCATGGCTCGTGAACCGATCTTTAGTCAATACCACCCAAACATAGTCGCCCACGTCAAATTCCACGTGGCGCCGTCGCAAGTCCGCCCGCCGCTTATATGCGGCCGTCGATGCCTCGAGCTAGTCCCGGGCCCGCGCATGCGTGGCCTGTAAATCAGAAATGAGCTCGGCGGCGCGCCTATCTCCGTCCCCATGCTGAGGTAAAGAGATCAAATCAGAAGGCCCACGGGGACTGACAGCATACACCACCTGAAAAGGAGAAAAACCCGTAGAGCGATTGACGATAGAGTTGTGAGCAAACTCAGCCTGTGCTAACCGCTGATCCCATGTGCGTACATTGTCTCCTACTAAGCAACGCAGCAGATTACCCAATGAACGGTTAACCACCTCCGTCTGGCCGTCAGTCTGCGGGTGATATGCGTTGCTGAAATCGAGCTGGGTATTGGCCATACACCACAAGCTTCTCCAGAAATGGCTCAAAAAATGCGTATCACGATCGGACACAATCGAAGAAGGCAACCCATGCAAGCGATAAACCTCCCTGAAGAATAGAAGAGCCACGTGAACAACAACCGAAGTCCGCTTGCACGGAATGAAATGAACCATCTTCGAGAAGCGATCCACTACTACAAAAATAGAATCAACCTAACGCTTTGTGCGTGGTAACCCCAAGACGAAATCCATGTTGATAGAATGCCAAGGGCGGGACGGGATCGGAAGCGGTCTATATAACCCAACATTATTCGCCACACCCTTGGACACCTAGCACACCCGACAACGAGCCACATAACGAGAGACATCACGGTGAAGACTAGGCCAAAAATACGAGCGACTCACCAGTTCGACCGAACGATCCCGACCCACATGGCCCGCGCCATGGAGGTCACCAATGAGCTTCAGCCGAAGGCTGACATCAGGAATGCACAAACGAACTCCACGAAAAAGGAACCCATCTGATAAAGTGTAGTCCGGAATAGGGCCGTCGCGCAAGGAACGAAGAATCGGGCCAAAAAATGGATCATCGGCATAAGCCTCGCGCAATACATCAAAGCCCACCACCGAGACAAGCATGTCCATCAGAAGAAGGGCCCGACGACTCAACGCATCAGCAACCCAGTTAGATGACCCAGAACGATGATGGAGCACAAAAGTGAACTGCTGCAAGAAGGCAGCCCACGAGGCATGGCGGGAAGAGATGTGATCCTGCGAAGCAAGGTAACGCAATGCCTCATGGTCGGAGTAAAGCACGAACTCACGATGGAACGAATAGTGGCGCCAATGTCGAACCGCACGTACGATCGCATAAAACTCCACATCGTAGGTGCTGTAACGACTGCGAGGTCCTGAAAGTTTCTCACTAAAAAAGGAAACCGGGCGACCATCCTGACTGAGAACAACCCCAATCCTGACCTTCGAAGCGTCACAAGACAACTCAAAAGGCCGACCAAAATCTGGGAGAACCAAAACGGGCGCAGACGTGAGCTTCTCCGTAATCACGTCAAAAGCCATCGCGGCCGCCGGAGTCCATGTAAACACCTTCCCCGTAAGGCAATCCGTGATTGGCGTGACGATGGAGCTGAAGTGAGAGATAAACCGACGATAAAACGACGCCAGTCCATGAAAGCTACGCGCTTCCATGAACGTCGTCGGTGTAGGCCACTCACGAATCGCCGAAACCTTCGACTCATCGACCCGAATACCATCGCCCAAGATGAAAAACCCCAAAAAAAGCACCGACTCCACCAAGAAAGAGCACTTCTTCGATGCCGCAAAGAAGGACTCAGCCCGAAGAATACATAAAACAGCCCGAACATGCTCCAAGTGCTCCTCCAGTGTCCGACTATAAATGAGAATATCGTCGAAATAAACGACGATGCATGTGCCAATGAGATCACGAACGGCCTGGTTCATCACGCGCATGAAAGTACTGGGCGCGTTAGAAAGGCCGAAGGGCATCACCAGCCACTCAAAAAGACCCTCACGGATCTTGAAGGCCGTCTTCCACTCGTCTCCGGGACGAATACGAATCTAATGATACCCGCTACGAAGATCGAGCTTCATGAAAATAGTAGCCCCATGAAGCTGGTCCAGCAAATCATCTAAGCGAGGAATCGGGAAACGATAACGTACCGTAAATTTATTAATAGCCCGACTGTCCACACACATACGCCAAGCCCCCTCCTTCTTGGGGATCAATAAAGCTGGAACCGCACAAGGACTCATGCTTCTGCGTACGACTCCATGC